TCCTTTATTCGCCTGTCCGCCTATCGGTAGGGTTATGTTTATCAACTCTCACGCTAGAGAACCACTTAAGACTATCGTTTAGTATTTGCAACTGCAAAGGATCTCTTTAAGCGATTTTTAAGTAACGTTAAGTTATCAGCTTAAGTTGCACGGTGTGGTTGTTATTAGTTTATAAAAAGGTAGTAGCTCCTAAATCGTGTAGAGTTCGCTCTCTCAACTTTTGATTATTTAGGATGCTTTGTTGTATTTGCTTATTGATTATGTTTCAAATTAACAGTATAGGTGAGCTAAGCATTCGCTTTTTACGAGCATTCAGTGTCTATGCAAAATGAATGACCTAAGCAAAAACGATTGATTTCGACGTTTTTACGCTTTGCATATTAAGGTGAATTGTTTTTTTTTTTTTCCAAATTTTTGAATACTAAGCGGAATTTGTTTAATTAGTGATAAGTATTTTTATTCATCACAAGACATGCATGCATTGTGTCAAATGCAAACGACACCTTACAAGGCGCTTTGGAGACCTTATTACACGCTATATATAACAGTGCAGCAGAAATAGACCCTCTATTTATCATTTTGCCTGCCTATCCAAAAGATGATAACAAAATCAAAACTTTGCCTAGACGAATAAACTTAATCTCAAATATTTTTCTCATCAAATTCTTTTCGGGAACTCACTGAATGGATTTCGCTCCATAACTTATAAGAGAAATGATGATTTCAATAACTATTTCATAATTATTGCTTCATGATCATAGGGTGGGCTTTGTGTTGGACTCTAAATTTTTATTTGCCAGACTTTTACATTGGTTTGGAAAATAAGTTTGCTTAGTCCAGCAGCTCTCCTGCGGTTACAAAAAATCGTCGCTTAATAAAGTGTAGTTAAGAGATATTGATTTTTAGTGTGAGCAACTAACTGGACATGCATTCCTGTCAAATCGTGTTAAAAAGTATGGTTTAAAGTACAGGTGATACAGGATATATATAATATGGCCCTTTGGACTTAACGTCTGCACTTGTCAGACGAAATTCTTAGATTTTTAGAATTGTACGCAAGCGATAAATTGCACCCTCCAGTGTGTAAGACAATCCTATATTACTTACTTAGAGAGCCTAAACCAAAGTTGGCGAACAAGATATGAGAGATTACGTTATAGTCCAAACTAAGCATTCCCTCTGGCCAAGACGAGGCTTACTTAACGCTTCTTACTATATCCGTGCCCCAGCCGCCTCGACACTTTCTGAAGGGTTGTGCCCAGCTCTTCGGGCTTGATCATCCCAATGCACACTTTTTGTGTACGCATTGGAAAGCACCTACAACTATTGTATCCTGCCAAGAAATTCTATCTCGCAATCAAATGCCTGCTAAGAAATTGCTGAGAAGAGGATCAGCATAAACACCGGCTCAAGCCCCTGTATACGACTTCTTTCTTGATTACTGATAATTGAATTTTGTGTATTCAGCCGTCGCCTGTGTCTGGCAAATTGTACCCAATTTATTCTTTTAATTAGCGCCTCCTACGTAGGTGCAATAATAAGAACGCTATCAACTGTTAGTTCTTTTTTTTTCCGTTTTGCCATTAATTGCTATGTTCTGTTTTGTTTGTTTTTTTAATTTTCATTTCATTTATTTTATTGATTAGTTTGTATAATTGTGCATAAAATTTGCATTTTTTTCTTTCGCTTGAATAGTCAGTCAGTGGTGTTGTTTTTTTTAAGCCGACATTGTGTGCGAATTGTAGGAACGAATCAAAAAAATAATATTAACAGCAGCAGTAGTAGTAGTAGTAGTAGTAGTAGTAGTAGAAGCAATACAATAATAAAAATCATTATAATAACAACAGCAGCCGGCTTATTAAAAATGCAAACAGGTTTTTTGCTTAAGTCTTTTGTTTATATTGTTAGTTAAGCAGACAGATTTATCTCTATGTTACGTTATCGTGAATGAATTAATGAATGATTGTGTGACGTCGGCAATTTTTGTAGTTGCTATTGTTGTTATTGTTGTTGTTATTTTGCTTTTATTCATATTTAATCGTTTAGTACACTTTAAATTGTTGCGAATTGAAAAAAAAAACCAGAAAAAAAAAAAATGAAAAGAACTGTTCATCAATTAGCTTTGCAAAATTTTTAATGCTCACAACTAATAGCTTAACATATTTAGGTGACTTATTTAGATCCATGCGTTCATCTGTCTCGTGTGTTTATGCTTTTCGAAATCTCGACAATGATATAGAAAATTGAAACTTAACACATGCGTGTGTGTGCGTGTGTGTGTGTGCGTGTGTGTGTGTGCGTGTATTTCCTTGAAGTAATTCCGTATTTTTACCTCACATATGAACCGTAACCACAAAGATGATAACCAGTAAGAAAGTTATACACTGAGCAATTCGTTCATCTTTATCAACCGCAATTAATATATGAATTTTACCATGTATTTGTTAGGCGTGATATTTACCCAAAGGGACAATTCTTACAAGGATTCATTAGGCACTGCAGTTTTCGCTTTTTTCGAGCAGATTTGTTGATCAATTTTGCTGGGTTTCAGGTGATTGTTGATCAGCGTGAAATTTTCAATTGATTAAGTCATGTCCGTCCGTCTGTGTGGTGTTTATTATTAAGGCTTTCTTGGTCGCAAAAATGGTGATAACGGCTTCAAATTTTGTAGAAACATTGGAAATTTCTGCTTGCAGGTTGATATTGAAAATGGGCTAAATTTATCAGAACAGAATCCCGTAGTGGAGCATAAACTGAACGTAACATCGTTTTTCTCAACAAACATTTGCGGGCTTTCTCCTCGATACATAGAAATTACAAAAGTTCGATGGCTGATAGTTTTCACGTTCCTTTTTCGAGACACTCATATTCTTCTCGTACGAAAATTGAAGAAATCGGCCATGCCCACTCAAAGTTACAAGGGATTAAATTTCCTTTTCTTTCACTTTTTTAAGGTTTTGTACTTACTTACCATAAAGCAAACAAGACAGAATGTCTAAGACTGACTATGTACTCCTCAAATGAACGATATGGGTATCAAACAAAAGAACTTGGAGATTAAAATGCGAAAAGCATAGAAGTGGATGAGCGAGTTTTGGCCCCGTCGAATATAACCTTCTCAGTTCAGTTTTTTTTTTGCTCAAGTAGTCGTTGCCCTAATATAAGATAGGGGTAGAACGTGAATCTTTGGTGCGCGTTTTCTTGGGACGATCCAAATTTGGTATTCATACTATCCTTCCGTTTGTAGGGCGACGAAAGGATCGAAAATTTCTAAATAGTTTTCTTCGATAAGAAATCTCGCTATGAGGAGTAAATTACTTCCAATTTCGTTTTTGTAAATAATTTTTTTCATTTCTCTCTTTTATATCTTGTTTTCTAATGGTGCAATGAAGGCAAATGTATCTTAAAAGCGATTTGAACTGACTTGAACGTGCAAAACACAAGTCATGCAAATCGAAGTTTTTGTAGTCGGTGAAAATAGGAATTCGTTGAATGGTTAAGAATCGCAAGTTAAAAAAAATTTAGCTGATCTGCCTAAATGCCGTACGTCTATAATATAATGAAAAATTCAGATCATTACGAAGAAACGACAATTTTTCCCTATTTTCGCCAATAACTTTGCATCCCATGAAGAACTTCCTTCCCGATGTTCGTGAGAATCAGCAAAAATTGTCTTGGTCGGTTTGTTTCACTCGTCCACGATTAAAATATAAAAATTTAATCAATTTAATTTAATTTAAAATTTTACTTTTAATTTACTTGGAATATTTTCGTGATTGGTCGAAGGACGTGCTAATATGCATTTTTGTAGTTTTTTGTTTTCTAGTTTTAAAAGCACTGTACTTGGTATTCAATTGGTTTGAGGGTATGCTGCCACATTTTTTAAAAATGGTTTTTGGGTAAACTACTAGAAAAAACAACTTATCTAAGACATAACCCGGTGCTTATAAGAACAAAAAAAAAAAAAAGGAACAGTGCTTTTAAAACTAACGGGTTTCCAATACGAAAATAAAATTTTAAATATTTTCTTTGTTTTCACACATTATGTTGCCATCTATTGATATTATGGGAAAGAGACGATTTAATGGCAGATTTTATAGTAAAATATTATCTTGTTATACTGCTACACCAGTTGTGATAACAAGGTACATGAAGTTTTGCGTAGACGTATGTAACACTTGGAAAGACTTATTATTTTATTATATCGATGAGTTTAGAACCATTTTTTGAATCGTTTTGGACTTGTCTGCTTGTGTATTTTTATTCAAGCTGCAAGTCGCAATTGTTGATGCATTTTAGTACATAGGCTTGATCTGAGCTAAAGATGAACGTCATTTAAAATGCATGTACATGCATCGTCTTATTTTGAAAAAGTCATTGTATAAAAAAAGTTTGCAATTATACTAGTACATCGGTACATAAGCTTGCGAAAAATTTGGGCGGAAGGAGAAAATTTTTTGAGTCGCATTTAGAAATTTAACAAACCTCTTAAATTTTTAATATTTCATAATTGCATAAATCGGTCTACAATTTGACTTGAAGTTGATTGAAGTAAGTTTGGACAAAATGAATGTATTTTTTTTTTTATCTCATGCTATATACAGATTCTAAGGCAAATAGCAGTCAAGTCTATTCTAAAGGACTTCGTATCTTATGAAGTAAATAAGTGAAGAGTAATAAGATATATGATAAGAAAATTAATATCGGATCAAATTCAGTTTCTGAGACATCTTGGCACTTATATAACGACTTTAAAGAAAAAAAACATTTATATCGGATCAGTTTCGTCTCTGATGCACCCTTGGCTCTTATTAAGACTTCAAAGAAAAATCTTGGCCTTTATATGACAAGAAGGCATTTTTTTTTTGTTCTTGGCATTTACGGCGCGCACCTTTGTGTCTGATTTTACTTGTTTCTCTAAAATGAAATAAACGAAAATTTTTCACATAATGAATGACAGAATTTCTTTTATAATTTTCTTATTTGTTCTCTTCGAATAGCCGTACACCGGGTTCGCGTCAACCTTCACCAGCTGAAGAATCTCTACCACGACCACCCACTTTACTTGATCCTACGCAACATGGTGTCTTTCCACCACATCATCCCTTTAATCATATGTTGGGCGGCGGTGGGGGTGGTGGCAGTTCTGGCATGGATCATAGTGGCAGTGTGCCCGGCAGTAATGGCCCAGGTGCTCCTGGCAATCAAATGAACTCAGGATTTCCACATCAAATGCCGCAAATGAATCAATTACAACCACCGGTAATGAATGGTGTTGGCGGAATGCAAATGGCGCAGGTATGTAAGCGACAAACATGAAGACATTTACACTTGAATTGTATACCTATGCTATGTGTGCGTCACATATGTGTACGTGCATAGTAGGTGCGATTGTCCACAGTTATGCTGGTGATAGCAATGTTTGTAAAAAGTGTTTCTCGTGTGTTTTTCTTTTCATATTTCGTCTGCTGCTGCATGCACGTAGAGTCCTATGCTTAATCATCAAAGTCAGGGCCCGAATCAAATCGAATCTCCAGGAAATTTACTGCAGCAACAACCACCAAATTTTGATGTACAGGTAAGCAAAGTTATATAACATAAAATTTTGTATACTTTCAACTTTAGATTAATGTTCACAATCATAATTTTTCGTGATTTTTCCCAAAAAATCTTGGAAAAAATTTAATGCAAAGCCCTAAACGTATCTGTCTTGTCAAAAAGAAAAGCTTCGGGCTTCGTAATGCAGGACTTTCGGGATTACTTAACAAAGCATTAAATGTTTGTATATATGAGCCAAACGATTTGTGGCATTTGTGGAGCCATGCGGAACAGTTACGGTCGTAGATTTTTTACTTTTTTTTTTTTTATTTGCGCGCAAAGCAACAGTATCTGCCGCATTATTTTCTACATCTTAATGAAATCTGGACGTTTTTCTCTTTTGCAAGGTTCCCGTTTAATTATCACATTGGTTCAAGTAACGAACACATGTTTCCTAAAAGATCAACTCGTTTGCAAGGTTACTTTGTGAAAGAAAATCGTAAAAAAATTATGAAAAATCTATTTTTTTTTTGTTTATCTACACCAAATCTAAACACAAACAAGCGAACGCATAAGCGGACCGATATTTTCTTGCTTCTCTGAGGAAGGTTTGCAAAAAAGTTACTTAATTAGTTACTGCAGGCATAGTTCACGCCCACTTGCAATCTTTATTTAATAGATTGAGTATAAAAGCATAAAATTATCCCCATTCTCATCTTTCTATCTGATTGTAACAACACCAAACGTAGGCGGACGAAAGGACTGACATGGCTGAATGTACTTAACATCGCATGATGATTAAAAAATGTTTAATTAGGTGGGTTTTTGAGAAAGATTCCCTTAGTTTACCTAGCGTAGGCCTGCTTATAAGGAGATTAAGCCCATTGACCCGTTTACTTTAGCAGCGTGAATCATATAAAATTATATATATATGAAACTATGAAAACATGCCAAGCTTTATCTTCTTATCTGTAAAAATTCGAAACATAGACGGATGAACGGACTGACGGATTAAAATCTGTAACAAACATAGTTTACTAAAACCTAGGCATACATGTAAGGAGTTCATTTAGGAGGTTGACACATCAAAAATTATGCCAACTCTCAAATTCCTATCGATCTGTAAAAATTCCAACGTAAACGGACAAAGGGACTGACATGGCTGAAAGGACTTACGACTTCATGACAATTAAGAGTGTACGTTTGTGTGAGTTTTTTGGGGGAAGATCTCTAATAAACGTAATTTAACTACCGTAAGGTATTTTTACGAGGAAATTATATTCATTTGTAAATTTAATTTATTGGGATTCAGTGACATAGAATTATATCAAGTCTCTCTGCTTACTTGCGGAATAGACTGACAAAACTATATACCTAACGCTTTTTAAGTTTGTGTTTCTTTGGGTATTTGAGGGATTTCTCTCTACAACAAAGTTACTTAATCCCTGCATTTTGAGTTGCAGTTGCAGTATAGTTTCATCGAACAAGGGCTATTTAATCACTCTTGCGACGGTCTTGCCCCTTTAAGAAATTGGAATGGAACGGTTATATGCCCTTTATCTTTTTCTTATCTGTATTTCTGTATTTCTAAGCTAAGTGTGGCATTTTAGAAATCCTTACAAGTCTGCAGAATAAGGATAAGTTGCGGAAGAATTTCTTAGACAAAGACGATGTACACAGCGCGCGTCTGTTGGCATTTGTTGACAGTTTTCCACTCTACCACGTGGGCTATTGTCAAGCCGTGTGCAGCTGCTGTCTTTTGTTATTTTAATCCTTTTCCTTTTGGGGGCAGTGAAAGAAGAACAAAAAAACCCATAATGAGACAAGAGAAGAGAAAAGAGAATTTGGGGAAGAAGAATGCTCGCGGTTCGACACGCTTGTGTTCTCCTTTATCCTCTTCTCCTAATTAATTGCATTTTGAAGTTTGTTGTTTAGTTTGAGCAAATGTTTGCCACATTGCGCTGGTTACTGGTATTATGTCTTTAGATTCGTTTATTAAAGAAAAAATATATTTTTGTTAAATATTTTCATTCAATTTTTAATTACCTGAGAGAAATATTCTCAACATGAATTTATTTAAAACACTTATGAAGAAATGTTTCACATTGAGCTCGCTTTGATTGGTTATGTGATGTATGTAGTGCTCTCAAAAATCAATTGAATTTTCAAAATGAAATAAAATAAAATAAAATGTCTTTGTAACCATTAAGTGTTTCGAGAATAATTTCCGTTTCCGTTACTCATCAAAGAATATCAATCTAGCTTGTTGTTGTTGCTTATCTTGCTCAACGAATGCATTGAATAAAACATGTATTTATTTTTTTCTTGTTCTCTCTCTCTCTCTCTCTCTCTCTCTCTGTGTGTGTGTGTGTGTGTGTGTGTGTGTGTGTGTGTGTGTGTGTGTGTGTGTGTGTGTGTGTGTGTGTGTGTGTATGGAAACTTTTGCTTTGTTTGCTTCCCGACTTTCCGACCTCGCTGCAGGAGCCAGGGGTGGGGAGGAAATGTTTTAATTTTTCTTCTCTTTTTTCTTTTTTTTTTTTAAACAATTCTAAACTTTTCTTCCTCTTTCCCTTGGTGTCCTTTACGGCTTTTCGTTTGGCTTTCGCTTTTTAGCTTTTACAGTTAGTGCTAAATACAAAATCTCGAGGGTAATTTTAAGCGCGTTTGTTTCTTTCGTATTTTAAAATAAAAGCCGTAAAGAGAAGAGTTTATGCATCTGTCTGCCTGTCTGCCCGCCTGCATTCATGCTTGACTTGGTGTATTTATATGGGTCTCCGTGCTCCATAAATGCATAGTTTATGGTGAAAAACAACGAAATAAGGAAAATCGGATTTATTAGCCGCAAAATTGCTTTTCAATGCTTTCATGCTTGCTTTTCTTCTTTTTCTTCTTCCTCTTTTTTTTTTTCTTCTATGCACTTTACGTACAGCTCAGCTCTGCTTGCATAAGCATGTAAGGAAGAGTCGTTACAAATTCGCTTGCCGATCTATCTACATCTCTATATGAGTATTACGTATGTGTTCGTATGTGACATGACTTGGAATTCTTATGTGATTTTTCTAGCTTTTCATTTTTCCAAATCCCCAAATTCCCGTTTAATGCCATTGAATGAATATTAGGGCAACAAAAACTGTTTTGTAACAACAAACCAAATTTCCGGCTCAAAGGAAGGCAATGTGCTTGTTGCTGTAAAGCGTTGTTTTTGAAAAAACTTAAAAATTTTAGTTAAAATTGTTCAAACTACGACAAATAGAGGGGAAAGGGAAGAGAACAAAAGAATGCATTGCATTACACACAATTTTTTTTAAGTTGAAGAAAAATTTCCTTTCAATCCAAGTTTTTTCAATCTTTGTCTCCAATTTTTATAAGATTTGGCAGCACTTTGTGAATGAAATTTGATTTGATTTCATTGAGTTATCATAAGCCCTTCATTAAGTTTGGCAACAATATAATAACTATTATCAGTCAAGTCATAAAATCGATGACTGCGTTGGCCAACTCAGATAAAACAATAAAGAAATTTGATCTCAGTTGGTTGTCGGATTTTTTAATTTATTTACGTCCTCACCTTGCTTGCGAGAAAAAACAACTGCACTACTAAGCTGCGCCCGTGTTTTTCCTTTTTTTCTCCACTTCTTCTTCTTTCTCCGTCATCACTGCGTTAAATGAATGTATATCTAGTATATATATAGTATAGTAGTAGTAGTATATATTGCTACAATATATACTATAGTATATTCTATAGTAGTAGTGCAGTAGCACTGCTACTAATATACTATACTATACTATACTATACTATATTATACTGTACTCTATATACTGTGTTTACTATACTATACTATGCTGTATATATGTGTATATGTGTATATGTGTATATGTGTATATGTGTATATGTGTATATGTGTATATGTGTATATGTGTATATGTGTATATGTGTATATGTGTATATGTGTATATGTGTATATGTGTATATGTGTATATGTGTATATGTGTATATGTGTATATGTGTATATGTGTATATGTGTATATGTGTATATGTGTATATGTGTATATGTATATATGTATATATGTATATATATATATATATATATATATAGTATATAGAATACTACACTATAGTGTAATATACTCTATATAATGTATATAAGTATAGTGTATATACATATGGTGTGTGTGCGTATATAAGAAGAGACAGGATGAAGATACCAGGAAGAGCAGATACTCTTCTCTTCAGAATACTATTCCTGTCAATAGCAGGCAGTCTTCCCTATTTATGGAGTTTTTTGTTTTTTTTTTTTTTTTTCTTGTCCAAATCCATGGACCAATATTACTGATTATCCAACAGTGCGAATAAGATCGAGTCAAAACTTTTATTTATTTTTCGTACCGGAGTTTCGAAGTTGTAAACGCACTTTTATATCTTTTGTCCGCGAAAGCCACTTCTTCTGAGATGAGAAGACGATGTACGATCTCTCAGGACTAACATAAGCCTAGAGTTATTTTCTTCCCTTCAACCTTCCTTAAATGATCTAGAATGATGGGAATGGTCCGAAGATTTGATGTCCTAAACTTCCGCCTAGCCTGGCAGATAAGAGGGAAACAAAACTGAAGCTGTTGACTAAAAATTTGATAGAAACATTTGAATTCCTTGCACGTACGATGGTATTAAAGATGGGCCGAATCGTTTGAAGTACATGCCCGCAGCATCTCGTGCGCTGAGAACATCTCTGGTTTTGAAAAAGCACAAAAAAATTGTTTTCTTCCTTTTTATCTATCTCCTCTTGTTTGTCTGTCTGCGCAACTGTTGTAGAATTTGTGGTAAACATTCCCTCTTAGGAGGATATCGCCTATAAGTTTGCAAAAGAATTCGAGAGTGACTTACACTTTTCGAAGGACATGCCTACAACGCCCCCGCATCTATGCGGCAATAACTTTAATTTTGAAAATGAAAAAATCAGCCACGCCCATTCCACATTGTAGAGTATGAAAATGTAGTTCTATTTTTTATTGCCTTCGTCAGGGTAACGGTGATGAGCAGGA